ATATATATATGTGTGGCTGGTGGGGAAAATTTTTAATTTCCACCCCTGACTATAATAGTAATATTTGTTGTCTGTCATTGTAGCTGGGATAATTTTACTCATTAAAGATCATAATCTTATCACTTGAAACATCACTAGCCCTGAAGCTGCTGGTAGACATCGTGGTTGGAATTATCAAAGGTTTTTGACACCTGAGAGACACCRTAGCAACCCATTCACGTTTGGAAGTGGGGGGTGGGGGTGAGGGGAGGACCAGGGAGGATGATTCAACCACTCAACCACTAGATGTAGCTGAAAACAACAAATCCTACACACTGTGCCTTTAAAAGGCAAATATTGCTCCCTAAGTTTACAGACAGGTGATCATTTGTGTTTGGCTGTGTGAGTGCCTGTCAGCAAAATATCATGAATTGTTGGATGGAATTTAATGAAAATCTGAAAATAATCATTTCATGCATATTTACAACTAATTAACGAATAAAGTCAAATGACTTTGGAAAACACAAACAAGGCTTTAAGACATTTAGTTTTACACACACTGGGCTAAAATGTGGTGGTAGTAGCTGAGACTCACCCCAAACAGAGATGCTAAAAGATCATGCAAAGTCAGCTTAATACTTTAGCATGAACTGCAGCGGGTGATATTTTTTTCTGTTAGGGTTGAAGATGAAATATTAGGGAAGCACGATATATCGGTATTGATATCGGTATCGGCCGAAATTGGTCATTTTTTAGAATATTGGTATCGGTCCGATATATAAAACGGGGCCRATATTAATTTCCCACTTTTTAGCTTTGCGTTTCTGTTTTGGGAGGAGAGTAACTAAAAGTAAGTAAGTAAAATTTTGTTTATAGAGCGCCTTTCACAGAAATGGAATTCACAAGGTACTGTACAATCATCATTAATATAGAAAGAAGAGACGGTTGGTTGAGCAGCATCTGTTTGGTCATGATAGTGATTAGGGGTGTAAGAAAATATCGATACACTGAAATATCGCGATATTTCATTTCCCCGATACTGTATCGATATTCTAAAGCCCTGTATCGATTTTTTATTAAGGTTTGAAATGTCAAC